GGTTCAGGCTTTTAGGCGTTGGGGCTTCAAGTATTGAACATATAAGCCCTAAACCCTCAACCCTAAACTTCTAGATTACACCCTAAACCCTGAACCCTAAGCCCTAAACCCTAAACCCTGAACCCTAAACCCTAAACCCTAAACCCTGAACCCTAAACCCAAAGCCCTAAAGATTACGACGATTTTAGGATCCACGGCGGCTTGAAATGGAGATGTTCGGCTCGTGGGCCTGGGATTTCAGGGGGCAAAGCTTACGTATTGCCCCAAAAGGCCTACGTAGCCTCCCAAGGGAATATAGGGTTTAGGGTTTAGGGTTCAGGGTTTAGGGCTCAGGGTTGAGGGCTTAAGGTTTATAGGGTTTAGGAATATCGAAGGAAGTCCTAATGAAGAGCCTGAAAAATTCAGCGCAAGAGGACTACAGAGATCGTTTAGGAAGATGTCTTTCGATTTGCAGGATGTGCGTTTACGGGTTTGAACTTTTCGAACCTTGCTAATTTCTTGAAAAACTCATCGACAACAGCATTTGAAATATATTAAAATATGGTAGCTTAGAAGTCGTAGCCCCAAACTCCAAACATGTAGCCAAGGCGCCACGAACTCCGGTTTCGCGCGCCCCTCCGGGGTGCCGTACCGGCTGTACCTGCCGACAGCTCAACCCTAAACCCTAAACCCCTAAACCCCTGAACCCTAAACCCTGAACCCACGTTGGACTGAAAGTGTGAGCGAGTTCTGTTCGTAAAAGCCAGTACTGCAACCCCTCAAACCCCCAAACAAGGAACCGCCTTAAAATCAGAACTAGTGCCGACGCAAGCCACATGGGGAGTTCTCTAAATTAGGGTCCCTTTTGGGGGTCCCTTTTATAAGGGTGCCGTACTATATTTGGGACCCAAAAACAGACCCTAATATAGAAAACTACCCCAGACCTGATTCAACCTAAAAGAAAATATGAAACAGCGGAGCAAGGTCTCGACTGCATCCTTGTCGTATAAAAGCCAATGCAGCACTTGAGTGCAATGGCTGTTTGACAAGTCGGCATCGACCGTCGCATGATGCAACCGGCTGGAAACAATCAACATGGCCAAACCAACCATCTGCCCTAGATTCCTAGATTGCCTGACAAGTCATACCCAGTTTAGTGCACCAGCATGTATACTCAAGTCATGCTGGTTGATGCAAGATCGCAATTGCCGTGGCGCAACCAACAGCCTATTTCGGCCACGTGCACAAATTTGTTAACCGTCTTTGTTTGGTTGCGAGATTTTATGCATCGCACTTGTAAGACTGCTCTGGACCATATGGTCCTATCAGCAGAGGGTGCAAGCATCATAAAGGCCCCTGATCGTCAATTGCAGCGCGAGTTTAGGGTTTAGGGTTTAGGGTTTAGGGTTTAGGGTTTAGCTAATTAATGTCGACAATGTTGACAGCTCCAACACTTGCAATTGAAAGAACTCATCCTACCACGGGTACTGCGACGACAACTACTTCTAACACAACGACTACGACTGCTCCAGCGTCAGTGTCGCCAGAGACCGACTTCACAGCTTCAACATACTTCACCCTAAACCCTAAACCCTAAACCCTAAACCCAACATACTTCACCCTTGCAGTAATCCCAACTTTAAGGCGGTGCCCCAACCTTGTGTTCGTTTAGGGTTTAGGGTTTAGGGTTTTGGGTTTAGGGTTTAGGGCTTAGGGACCTGAATTTTGGGTGCTTAGGGCTTTGGGTTTGGTGCAGGTGCATCACCGCATGCCTCCCCTCACCCTAAACCCTAAACCCTAATCAAAGTCCTTAGGGTTTAAGGTTCAGAACTGTCTCAAGCGCTCCAAACTCCGAGTCCTGAATCCCACGGAATCCCGGCGAAAGCTTTCTCGAAGAGGCTCAGGGACCGGGATACTTTAGACACAGAGTAGAGAGGCCTGAATCAACAGAATAGAGATTTGGTGCATACTCGAGCATCGCCACATGGGTAGTTCTCTGAATTAGGGTGCCACTTTAGGTCCCTATAGCACGGCACCCTAAGCCCTGCAAACGCTAAACCCTAAAACCCTGAAGCCCTAAACCCTAAACCCTAAACCCTAAATCCTGAACCCAAAACGACCCTAAAAGGGACCCTGATTTAGAGAACTAATCCCACAAAAAACTCTGGGGGATGCTCCCACTAGTTGTTCAGGCCACTTTAGGGTTTTAGGGTTTAGGGTTTAGGGCTTTAGGGGTTTAGGGGTTTAGGGTTTTAGGGCTTTAGGGTTTTAGGGTTTGGGGTTTTAGGATTTAGGATTTTAGGGTTGAGGGTTTAGGGCTTTGGGGTTTTAGGGTTTAGGTTTTAGGGTTTGAGGTTTAGGGTTTGGGGTTTTAGGGTTTTAGGGTTTAGGGTTCAGGGTTTAGGGCCCTTCTCTATGCTAACACGGAGACTGAACCGCGCCCAGAATAGGCGGCTGTCCTTCCATGGCAGTTGAAGAAAGGGTTCTTAACGAATCATGTGTCACCAGGGTTATGGCTATACTTCCAGTCCAATATTTACTTATATACCCAGTTCAGGTAGGCACAAAAAGTCAGCTATACTTATGACTATACTTCCAGTCTTATATTTACTTATATACGCCATGCAGGTAGGTAAACCCTATGCCCCAAATTCTAGACCTTACTTACTTAGTCCTCTCCCTCTGCCAGACCCGCGGGAAGATCCAGAAAGTGAAACCCCTATTTAGGGTTTAGGGTTTAGGGTTTAGGGGTTGGGGTTTAGGGTTTAGGGTTTAGGGTGTTTTAGGGTTCAGGGTTTAGGGTTTAGGGGTTTGGGAACCTGTATTACTCGGAACCCCCTCCTCCCCCCTCCCCCCCCTTCCACGGGATCTACTTGTTCTATACTTCCAGGGGTCTGGGATATAATGCTCCACCCAGAGACTCCAATATCCCTTAATTAAGGAATATACCTTAAATCATATTAAGGATCCTACTATACCCTAAACCCTAAACCCTAAACCCTAAACCCTAAACCCCTAATTAAGGGATATTGGAGTCTCTGGGCAAGTACCAGTAGGTCTTCGCATCCTTGGGGAGTTGGGCTTGGCTTAGGCTTTAGGGTTTAGGGTTTAGGGTTTAGGGTTTAGGGTTTAGGGTGCAGCACCGTCTTTTGGTTACCCTGATTTCTGCTTGTAGAGTTCATTTGCCTCTCCAGAAGAAACAGGCTCTAAACCCCCCCTCCCTCAACGATTAAGGTGGCAATCAGGGCGGCGTACGGCACACGGCGGCGCGGATGGATCTGCACGTGCGGCTGGGCAATATCAAGATTACTGGAAAGCTCATTGGTAGTTAGAAGTACGCAGACCACCGGGAAGATCTAAAAGTAGATCCCCTAATTTGGGACCCTAACTACTAAAGGATTACTAAAGGGTACTTTGTAGGAACCCCTTAGGGGATCTAGTTTTTGGATCCTCCCGGCGGTCTGGGTAACAAGGCAGGTTCATTCTTCATGGGCAGCTAGCTAGTTCTGAGGTCGGGCTATACTTACCTCACCTGGGTCTATATAGAGCTACTCATAAGCCCTTGAAGCTAAGCATCGCTTTGTCTAACAGGCTTGGAAGGATTCCTTCACAGGGCTCAAAAGTGCTTGAAATACTTATCTGCCTGTTTTGCATGTTCGGGGCTGTCGAGGTTACTTCTTATAAAGCTCCTCGCAACACAGGGTGTTATCGTGGCACGTCCTCTGTCAACATTGTGGTTTTCTTCTAGTTGTCATCAACTACGGCGACTGCAAGTCCCAACAAACTCCAAGCCAACTCCTAGAACAAATGACTGACTTGACAGAACATCCACGTCCCGTTTACAATGCACCCTTTTGTTTGGTATGGTAACTACATGTCACCAACCCGACACCTGTCTTAAAAGGTCTTGGGTACACGAACTACTGGATCGAACAGTCCACAAAGCTCGACATGATCCGGCTTGGGGGGCTTCAGGGTGCTTTACGTGTATGGGCCTCAATAATGAGAATAGGGTTTTGGGGCCCATTATACTATGATTATACAAACAGTAATGGTTGCTATTTGGGTCAATACAGTTAGGGGTTCAGGGTTGTGGGAACTAAGGTTTAGGATTCGGGTTTTCAGAAGTGGGGTTAAGGGTAGTAGGAATTAGGGTTTAAGGTTTGGGGTTTTGGTCCTGGTACTGTTAAACGTTCGGCTCAAAACAGGCTTTAAGTAATGCATGCTTTACATACGGGTACACATCCGACCATTCATACATGCATGCATCTATGCATACATGGCATACATGTGTGCGTGCATGCATGCATGCATGTACATATACACATGCTCATGAATAAGCGATTACACTTTAAGATACGAACAAAGCATGAGGTCGCCTAGAGTACAAGCCATTGCATGCTTAACCGAGGCAGATAACCCACCTGAGCCAGGCGAAGTTCATGGAACAGGGCATGGGTATGTTGAACCACAAACGTATGAAGAACATCGAAAATAGATATTGCTCAGAATCATGCATCGCACTAGAATCCCAGAAAACCGGGAGGCTCCCATAAAGTACCCTTTAGTAGTTAGGGTCCCAAATTAGGGGATCTACTTTTTAGATCCACCGGGTGGTCTGGGATACGCAGTTTCTCCGAGCGTCAGCCGAGGCAAGGTCTGGCGATGTAGGCACTTGGTCAAGAAGCCACAAGCTTTTCTTGGGTTTAGGGTTTAGGGTCTAGGGTTTAGGGTTAAGGGTTTAGGGTTCCAGGTTTAGGGCTTAGGGCTTCCCAGACCGCCGGGAGGATCTAAAAAGTAGATCCCCTAGTTTGGGACCCGAACTACGAAAGGGTACGTTACAGAAACCCCTTAGGTGAACATTTTTTGGATCCTCCCGGCGGTCTGCGTTAGAGTTTAGGGTGTTGGGCTTGGGGCTTACATTTTAAAAGGTTCTACCACCTGGGAATGGTTCATGTGGCTCTTGCTGTATTCCCCAAACCCTAAACCCTAAACCCTAAACCCCACAGAGTTTCGCTATGCTACTCACCGTCCTCCACCGGCAAGATGTCGGCACTCAGACCTTTGGCTTTGAGACCTGCGCAGTACAACTCGGCGGTTTCGAAGGTATAGGTCCCGACCATCGCCATGCCCTCAGTGTGAGCGGTCATCATCACCTTACGTGCCCAGTTTCATTACAAACCCTAAACCCTAAACCCTAAGCCCTAAGCCCTAAACCCTAAACCCTAAAACCCTAAACCCTAAACCCCTAAACCCTTACGTGCCCAGTTTTTCAGGGGAGCTAAAAGCCAACCTTTGAGATGTGTGGTATAGTAACCCGAGCAATCTTGAAGGCTACTTACTCTTCCCCTAAGGTTCAGGGTTTAGGGTTTAGGGTCTAGGGTTTAGGCTTCCTAAGGCTCAAAATAGTCCAAAGCCTTATATAGTATGGTCTTTGCCACAGAAATTTTCAAAATATGAGCCCTTAGAGCCTTAGGGTTCGACTGAGTAACCTGATAGGCGCTGCTCTCGGTGAGGCCACAAACAGTCATCAAGCACCTGGCCAGGAAGTCACGCTCCAGAAACATGAGGTCCCTCTTGCGGACAATCCTAGGCTCTTTGCAAGGAGCTGTTTTTCAGTTACCATAATAAGGAAAGCCGATTAGCCGTATTATCTACTACGGATCCCAATTATGGCAGCTTAAACCCGAAAACCTCCTAAATCCTAAACCCTAATTAAACCCCTAAACTCTAAACCCTAAACTATAGCAACTTGAAATGATGTTCCGTATAAACAACTACTTAGCCCCAAACTCCAAACCCCCTAAACCCTAAACCCTAAACTACGGCAACAAAAATGAAGTTCCGTAATACAAAATCCTAAACTCCCCTAACCCCCAAACTATAGCAACTTAAAGTGAAGCTCTTTAAAAAGAACCAAGACTCTCCTCCACGTCCTCTGAAGGTCTGAACCAGCCCCGGCCGGTTGGATCATGGTATGACCGGGCCTGGACATCGATGTCGAAATACCTGGGGCGCCCTTACCCCTACCACCGTGAGGATCCAAAAATAGATCCCCCAAGTGGGGACCCTGACTACTAAAGGGTACTTTATAAGAGCCTACTTAGGGGATCTATTTTTTGGATCCTCCGGGTGGTCTGGGTAGAAGTATAGTACATGTGTATGTATGTAGATACATGTAGTAACTGCATGTAAACCATAATGTTAACACTAACTTGGAGTTCTCTTATCGTGGCAATCAAAAAACAACTCCCAAGAGCATTTCAGGTGCTGCATGCTCCGGATCTCGAGCTTGTCGTTCACGTACTCGTTGATGGCAATGCCCTCCTTCTGGAGCCGGATGTTATCTCCGTCCGTGTCAGTGAAAGACAGTAGAATTTCAGTGAAAACCTGGGTGTTGATGTAAGCAGGGAGACAACAATTAAAAAAAAACTCGATTTCATAATGGCTCCTTCTGAACACATCCACTAAAGTAACAGTCTATGGCCCTAAACACTAAACCCCTAAACCCTAAACCCCTAAACCCTAAACCCTAAACCCTGAACCCTAATCCCTAAACCCTAAAACCCTAATCCCTAAACCCAAAACCCAAAACCCTAAACCCAAAACCCAAGACCCAAAACCCTAAACCAAAAACCCTAAACCCAAAACCCAAAACCCTAAACCCAAAACCCAAAACCCAAAA